ATAGAGAATACAGAGAACTAACCTCTTACATGATCGTGGCTGTAAGCTTGCCATTTACTCAGGGAACAAACTGGAAAGCTTTAATAATACCTCAGAGTAGAGATTGGATAAATGAGCTTTGGGAATTAGCTTTGATGTCAAAATCATTGTACTACTTAAGATCAAAGAAAGGGGATGTCGGCAAAACAGATTTCCAGAAGCGTGGTGTAGCAGTCAGTCAAGTTGTTTTCGGTCCTGGTGGCGTAGTGGCAAATTCAGAAGTGTACGGTCCCTTCACAATAACCACAGCCAGGCCCCTTCACAGCCACACCTCTTCTAAGATTATACAATAACTTTATCATTATGCAATAATGATAATTAGGGATCTGCATCAGCTTTGATCTACTCTTTTCGGTGCATGTACTGTTCTTGTGCTCGGACGCTGTTTGAGGGTTTCCAAGAAGCATCTGGTTGGCCACCGTGAGAACAGGATGATGACTGAAAGGGCCATTGGCCTGATCCTACAGGCTCTTTTTATGCTCTTAAACTCTGCCTGAGCCTTCATTGCTGTCCCAGATGGGGATGAGTACTGTATTTTTCGCTCTATAAGACGCACCAGACCATAAGACGCACCTAGTTTTTGGAGGAGGAAAACAAGAGGAAAAAAATTCTGAATCTCAGAAGCCAGAACAAGAGGGATCGCTGCACAGCGAAAGCAGCGATCCCTCTTGCTGTTCTAGCTTCTGGGATAGCTGCGCAGCCTGCATTCGCTCCATAAGACGCACACACATTTCCCCTTACTTTTTAGGAGGGAAAAAGTGAGTCTTATAGAGCAAAAAATACGGTGAGTTAAAGAGTAAGTTAAAGAGGGACGCGGGTGGCGCTGTGGGTTAAACCACAGAGCCTAGGACTTGCCGATCAGAAGGTCGGCAGTTCGAATCCCCGCGACGGGGTGAGCTCCTGTTGCCTAGTCCCAGCTCCTGCCAACCTAGCAGTTCGAAAGCACGTCAAAGTGCAAGTAGATAAATAGGCGGGAAGGTAAACGGCGTTTCCGTGCGCTGCTCTGGTTCGCCAGAAGCTGCTTAGTCATGCTGGCCACATGACCTGGAAACTGTCTGCGGACAAACGCCAGCTCCCTCGGCCCATAGAGCGAGATGAGCGCCGCAACCCCAGAGTCGGTCACGACTGGACCTAATGGTCAGGGATACCTTTACCTTTACCTTTAAGTTAAAGAGCCCTTTGTCCTCTTAGTGCATGTTTAAAAGAGCCATTCCTGCTGATCCCTCAGCCCTCATTTAATTAAAAGCAAAATACTTGCTGCCAACTGGGAATCCTTATAACTGCAGGTGCAAAAATACCACTAGTCAACAGGGGAGACTGCAGCACTCAGTGCAGATTTTCCATCATTGACATCTCTCATTGGCCACTGTGAGAACAGGATGCTGAACTAGACGGGTCACTGTCCTGCAAGCTTTGTGCCAGCTCCGTTTCTGACACTGTTGTGTTTGTGGCATTGTGGTCTCCATGGCAGCTGAGCGGATGATGCTGGAAAACAAGCTGGTGTGTGTGTGAGAGAGATTCGAGGGGTGTTGCTGGCTTTGCCAAAGGCAACTGGGCAAAGATTCCTTAGACAGTTGTATGAGACCAAGAGACATGCAGACTGCCATAACTTTTACTAAGAAACCAGAGGCTTTTTTTGGTTGGGAATAATAGGGGTAGAGATACCTAACGGTTACAAAATTTTATTTATGTACGCAACCATGGAGACCTGAATGATTTATGCCCAGAGACGGAAAGAAGATAACATTGCAACCAAAGAAGAATGGCAGCAAAAACTGTTGGAGTACGCAAAAATGGCGGAACTTACTGGGAGAAAAAAGAAACCAAGAAGACAGAGTTTTTAATTTAGAGTGGAAATCATTTACTGAATATCTAAAAAGTTATTGTAAACGGATTAAATTATTAGCTGGATTAATATAAAGACGTGCAGTGAAACAAAACTAGTTTTGACAATACTGGATAAATAGTAATTAGGTTTAACTTGGATATGCATTGAAAATAATAAAACAAGCAGCCGCAGAAAGTGGGGAGGGGGTCGAAACTGGGTACAGTGGTACCTCGAGTTAAGAACTTGATTCGTTCTGGAGGTCCGTTCTTAACCTGAAACTGTTCTTAACCTGAGGTACCACTTTCGCTAATGGGGCCTCCCGCTGCCACTGCGCCACCGCCACGCAATTTCTGTTCTCATCCTGAGGTAAAGTTTTTAACCTGAGGTACTATTTCTGGGTTTGCGGAGTCTGTAACCTGAAGCATCTGTAACCTGAAGTATCTGTAACCTGAGGTACTGCTATACTGGAATTTGATGTAAAAATATTTGTTTTCTGCAATGGTAAATGGAGAGAGAGAGAGAGAGAGAGAGAGAGAGAGAGAGAGAGAGTCTCATGCAGGCTGCCTCACTGTGGAATTGGGTGCCAATTGGCATTTCCTCAGCAACCCTGGGCAGATCTGATCTCTACGTCACCCCGCTGCAGAGCCTCCCTTCCCTGCCTCCTAGGTACCAGGGCTTGTTTGTTTTGTTGACTGGCAAGGATGATCGGTCGTCGTCAGGGCAGGTGGCAGTGAAGTCAAAAGCATGTCCTGCCGTGGACTCCTATTATCTAAGGGCACAGCGAATGTAGGCCTCGCTTGAGAAGAACTGTTGCTGTTGCAAGAGGAATCATGTTGTGGTGGTTTCGGGAGGCAGTCTGCATAATGACCAGTTTTTCGGCTCCTGTATCCATGGGGGTAGAATGTAAGGAACTCAGGATAGCTCAGTTGGTAGAGGATGAGAATCTTAATCTCCGGGTCGTGGGTTCGAGCCCTACGTTGGGTAATACATTCCTGCACTGCAGGAGGTTGGACTAGATGACTGTGGTCCCTTCTCTGAATGTGTGAGAGCAAGCTTGCAAAACCAGTCCCTTTGTCTAGGGCAAAGCCTTTGGCTGACTAGTTAAGTACCACAATCAGCATGACCAAAGAAGTTGCTGAGTGCCATAAAATAAGTGGGTGGGCCTCCCCACTTTCCCTTCCCTGCCACCGTCTCACCAAACTAGTAGGTAAGAGAACAATAACCAGCGGTATATGTGAGCATTGAGCTGGGACCAGGCGGCACAGAGATCAATGGAGAAGCAAGATCTGCTGGGGTGTTAATGCTGTGAGCCCTTCCATCTTATGCTCAGGTGGTAAAGGTAAAGGGACCCCTGACCATTAGGTCCAGTTGTGACTGACTCTGGGGTTGCAGTGCTCATTTTGCTTTATTGACCGAGGGAGCCGGCGTACAGCTTCCGGGTCATGTGGCCAGCATGACTAAGCCGCTTCTGGCGAACCAGAGCAGCGCACGGAAACGCTGTTTACCTTCCTGCCAGAGTGGTACCTATTTATCTACTTGCACTTTTTAGCATGCTTTAGAACTGCTATGTTGGCAGGAGCTGGGGCCAAGCAACGGCAGCTCACCCCGTCATGAGGATTCAAACCACCGACCTTCTGATCGGCAAGTCTTAGGCTCTGTGGTTTAACCCACAGCACCACCCACGTCCCTTGCTCAGGTGGTATATCTGTGTAAATAAATTCATATATCCCATACCTGGCAAGTGTCCCAAACACACTGGGAAATCTTGGGTGTTTTTTCTCGTGAGAGGACGGCGGCCATTTTGAGCAACATAATCTAGTGCAATTTCAGGCTGCGATTAAGACATTGCAGCACAAAATTGCTCAAGATCACAGTGCCCAAAATAGCCACCGTCCTCTCGCGAGAAAAAACAGGAAGGTGGCATCCCAGAAGACGGTGTCCCAGTTTTTTTTGCCTTTAATGTGTTGGAGGGTATGATACCCTTAACACACCACAGTCTCTGCTGACCTTCGTACCAAAGAAAATGAACTCAGGGTAAGTGCTTTGAACTACTGGGGTAGTGCGCAACGTTGTTTTAAGGGCTGGGGAAATGTGACAGTGATTTCTTCTTCACCATTATGACTTTGGGTTAACATGAACTAGGGAAAATGCTTATTCCCTGCCCCACATACAATTATCACTTATTGTCAGGCTTCGGGGAATCAACTTCCTCCCCCATGGCCGTAAATGAGCAGATCAAACAAAAAGAATTCTTACCAGTTAGTTTCTTTAATAAACACAGCAAAGGACAAAGGAAAGTGTCCACCCAGAATAGCGGTGCTCCCAATTAAGGTTTACACCTCCTCTGTCCCTATTAATCTACATCACTCCTACGTCTTGTAATCTGAGTTTGTACCCTCTGCGCTTTCTGTTCTAACACTTTATGAGCTCTCTGTGTCTTTGGAGATGGGTGTGTGTGTGAATGCTGCCCAGAGACTGTGAATCTGTTAACTCTCTCTCTTCTTCTGTTTCTTCTGCTAGCTGTTCCACATCCAGGATTTCCCAGCTTCTGTCTTCTGAACTATGCCCCTCTGCAAACCACTGTTCCAAATCTATACTGTCCTCCTGCTCCTGGGAACACTCAGGATCAGGATCGGGGGAGGGGATGGCTCCCCCCATTCCTCCTCAATGCAGCCCTCGTCAGCACAGTCCCTGACATGTATTCTGTTTGAGTGTGTAAACCAGCAGTGAGGAACCTGAGGTTCGGGGCCCAAAGTCAGCCCTCCAGGCATCTCTACCTGGACCTTGGCACTCTTCCCAGGCCACACCCCTCCCCGGCCTTGCTCCACCTTATTTCACCCCCTGCCTGGGATATGTCCCTGAACTCTGATAACAGTCACATCTGCGCCATACAGCAAAAGCACACTTGTTTCCTTGCAAAAAATTCTGGGAATTGTAGTTGGTTAAGAGTACAGAGAATGGTTGCTCTGTGAGGGGTGAACTGCACTTCCCAGGATTCCTTGGAAGAAGCCGTATGCTTTAATTGTGTGGTCTGGGTGTAGGACCAAACCTGCTTGCTTGCCTGGATGCAGGGTTGAGAGGGGTTTGCCTGCAAACTAGTCTACTGGACAGAGGTACCTCTGTCCCCTTGTGCCTCTGGCTTTGCTCTCCTCTGGCCTGTGGCCCTGGAAAGGCTGCCTTGGAAGGATTGCGACCCTCAGGCTGAAAAAATGTTTCTTCATCCTTGGACAAAAATGGAAGAAAAACCTGATCGCATACGAGATGCCATTGAGATTCCAGTCACGCCTCTCCAGAGTTTGCACTGATTTCCAAAAGATTGCAGTATGTCTATATCGATGTAAATTGCGGGTCTTGATGAAAAAGGAAAACAAATGGAGTTTTAAAATGCAGCTAATCAGGGAGTTAAAAGAGAGGTTAATCCTTATGGATTAATCAAATTGCATGTGTAAAGGGAGGGGAAGGAGGTGAGAGGTAAAGAGGGATGGGAGAGGAGAGGAGAGGAGGGAAGGAGATTGAAATTGGGCTTGGCTGTTTTGAAGCAGAGATTTCTGAGGAAACTTTGGGAGAAATTGATCTTCCGGCCTTCGTTTGTTTGCTGAGCAAAGAGTAGGGCCACTTGGTTCTTTCTCAGGTGAGGGTTTAGGAACTATTGAGGGCTTCAGTTTGCTCCTTGGAAACATCTCAGGGAAGGGAACTTGCTGTGGTGTAGTAGTTCAGACTAGGACCTGGAAGAGCAGGGTTCAAATCCACACTCGGCCAAGAAGCTTGCTGGGTGTTCTTGGGCCAGTCATTGCCTCTTAGCCTAACCTACCTCAAAGGGTTGTTGTAGGGATTAAATGAGTGGGGGGAAGGGAACCACGCACATCACTTTGAGCTCCTTGGAGGAAAAAAGTGGGGTATTTATGCAATAAATCATAAATAAATGAATAACATTTTAAATTAGGGACGGGGAATATGTGGCCCTCTAGATGTGGTTAGACTCCAGCTCCTATCAGCCCCAGCCAGCAGTTCACCAAGGATGATGGGAGTTTCTGCTAAACAACAAAAACATGTTGTTCTTATTATTTTATTTATACATATACCCAGTGCTTTTTTTCTTAAAAAAATGTTTAGGGGTACAGTGGTACGTCGGGTTACATACGCTTCAGGTTACAGACTCCGCTAACCCAGAAATATTACCTCAGGTTAAGAACTTTGCTTCAGGATGAGAACAGAAATCGTGCTCTGGCATTGCGGCGGCAGCAGGAGGCCTCATTAGCTAAAGTGGTGCTTCAGGTTAAGAACAGTTTCAGGTTAAGTACAGACCTCCAGAACGAATTAAGTGCTTAACCTGAGGTACCACTGTACTCTCATTTTCCTACTCGTATTGAGATACTGCCCCTCAATGAGGCCAAACTTAGATTCACAAAATGTTTAGGGGTTTGTGTACCCCTGCGTCCTCCCAGAAAGAAAGCACTGCGTATACCACCTTTTCCTCCAAAGAGCTTAAGGTGGTGTACATAGAATCACAGAATTGTAGATTTGGAAGAGACCCCAGGGGCCATCTAGTCTGACCCCCTGCAATGCAGGAATCTCAGCTTAAGCATTCATGACAGACGGTTCTCCTCCTATCCCTGTTTCTTCCTCACAACAACCCTGTGAGGTAGGTTAGGATGAGAGATGCTGACTGTCCCAAGGTCACACCCAGTGAGTGTCAAGCGGGAATTTGAACCCCTGGTCTCCCAGGTCATTGTCCAACACTAACCAACACAAGACACTGGCTGTCTAGAGGGGAGGCACATGCTCTCTGTCCCTCTTTCAAATACATTGCAGAGATTACTCTGCACAGAGAAAATGAGTGCATGGTAAAAAGTTTGCTTTTCCAAACAGGGTGCAAAGCAGTGTGCAAGTTTGAACTCAACAGATGCCAGCAGCATGGCTTCCTTCTTTGTGGTGGCATGTTTGGCCAAGAAGGGAGTGCAGAACGAAGACGCCACCATCAAGAGTAATCGCCCATCTCAATTTGCAATCGCCCTCTCCTGTTCCATCCTGTCGGGAGCCTGTTTCCCCCCTTCCAGATGGGAGCGGGCTCCCCTCGTTAAAATTCTGAGCGCCCGCATCTCCGTATTAAAGCGGATATTAAGCCATAAAGCGTAATATGTTATGACACCATAAAAGGCAGCGTAATTGCTACGGAACCATAAAATGTAATACAGTTGGCTCAGCGGCCATTATCTTCCCCTCCTCTTGCGGCTCTAAGTATTTGAAAGTGTTATCGAACAGCCTGGGCGAGGGCAAAGAGAGCAGCTCAAAAAGCCTCTTTGTTGCTGGAGTCTGCAAGCGGAGGAATGACCTCAGATGCCCTCTTCCTGCTCCTAGAGGAGTCGACTCCTTTTCTATGCAGTAGGCAGGCAGCCCAACCGAAAGTGAACTGGAAAGTAGGGCGCTAGTACGCTCAGTTGGTTCGAGCGTGGTGCTGAGAACGCCAAGGTTTGCAAGTTCGATCCCCCTACGGGACAGCTGTGTATTTATTTATGCATTGTAGGAGGTTGAACTTGTTATAGAAATTCTAAGGTCATATATATATATATATATATATATATATATATATGAGATGTCCATAAATGTACAAGGCAAACACATACATAAGTATATAAACCACGTGTCTGAAATAGTACAGGAGAACAATCCCGAAGGTTTTTTTTAAAACAACAACAAATAATTGTTTTAAGAGTGCTGATTTTAATGATGTTAATTTGTTTTGAATATATATTGATATTTTTAATGTAGTCTGTAGCTTGTCCTTTGTAAACGGCTTTGTAAACAGCCATCTTTTTAAATTGCGAAATATACAAATATACTTGAGTAAGCAGTATACAAATTTTTTTGAGTAAAAATAAATATAATATGCCTTATATACAATATATCTGAGACTTTTCTCCCAGGGAGGTGGGGATAATGGCAATGCTAGAATGGGGCCTTTTTAGTGGTGGCTCCCTGTTTGTGGAATGTTCTTCCCCATCACTATTTTCAGGTGCTGTGCCACGCAAAAACATGTTTTTTTTACCCAGACTTTCTACCTGGCGAGTTTTCAGTATTTATGGCCTCTTTTAGTGGGGTGGAATCTGCTAGACTGACCTTTTATATAAATGGATGGAGGTGTTTTTTGGTACTTATTCTGTTTTGGTTTGAAAATTGCTTTGGGTCGCACTTTTGAAAAAGGGGCTAATGATTTATTTCTTGCATTTATCTCCCACCTTTTTCTCCAAGGAGCTCAAAGTAGCTGGCATACATGGTTCCCCCATTTAATTCCCACAACAATCCTGTGAAGTAGTTTAGGCTGAGAGACAGTGACAGGTCCAAGGTCATGCAGTGAGCTTCATGGCCAAGTGGGGATTTGAACCCTGGTCTCTTCCAGGTCCTAGTCCAACCCTCTAACCACTGCACCACATACAAATGGTATTCATAATAATAATAATATAGGATTTACACTCATGAAAAGTTAAGAATGCTGAGCTGAATGGAGCGGTGATTTCTAAATCTGTTGCAAATGGGACAACAATAGATGACATTGTTGTCTGCCAGAGAGGGAACTGGTAAGGCTTTTTTACAGGTGGTGTGAATTTCACAGTTCATGGTTTTCCATAATGATACATTACATCTTTCGAGGCCACGCTACTGCATCCTATAATTCTGGTCGCAGTCCAGGACTCAGAAACCCACAATTGTACAGCTGTATTCATTAGACATGCTCCAGGAACATATCCCAGTAGGATCCGGTTTTTATCTGAAGATTAAAAGCTCAATAAAGCCTTGATTAAAGAGAGAGAGGCTTTATTCTCAACACACCCTTGGATCGCAGGGTTGCCACAACCCATATAAATTAGGAATCTTCATAAATGCGATTGCTCACGTTTCCTGAAGAAGGCAGCTTGGCAATTTAAACAGCTGCGGAAAGAAATAAGCAAATACTTTCTCCCCCACATTTCCCTCCCCACTCTGGAACTGTAACAATGGGGCACCTGTTTGATTGTTGCCTGTTGGTCAGAGGCGTTGCAGTCTGTTCAACAGGAGTGGCTATGGCTAGGAAAGGTATGGGGGAGAGTACTTTCAGAGCATCCAGCATGACATGGGGAGAGGTGATAAGGCAGGTCAAACATGCCCGCCTTGATACAATTTGGCTTCCTTTATTAATCTAGCAATAAGATCAATGCCCCCACCCTGGCCACTCACATTCATCTATGGAGGGGCTTCGTAACAGATAAATAATATGTTTATTTGTACAGTGTCGTACATATGTGCCAAAAAGATATAACTTCTGCTTATGTGCCTTCCTATATACATAGAAACGTAAGGCTATCATCACACTGCAGTTCACATGGCCATCAATAGGTGGCTCCACCAGCTGCACTGAATGGCAGGCAAGTGAGTGAACAAGCAGCATGGAGGGCAGCCAGCCCAGAAGAGTTGTTTAATGAAGGTGCTTCAGAGAGCAGTTTGGCAAACCGCTCTTTAAAGCACCTACCCCCTCCTTTAAAAAGGGAATGGGGCTTGGGGTGAGCTGTGAGGGGATAGCCGAGGGTGAGGTGTAAAAAGAGATGTATTGGGTCAGGTATAAAGCCCAGTTGTTCTGGATTACCATCAGCCTTAGCCAGCCATGAATGGAACTAGTGGACCAATCTGAAAACCTCTGAGTTAGGATGTAGCAGATATACATGTACACACAACTAAAAACTTCAGTTTGGGTTTATTGTTCAATAAAAGCACAAGTCTTATTTGGAAAAAAAAGGACATTGCTCCAAACAAGGGCATAATTTCACATGTTTAAGTATTTTCAGACTAATGACATCCTGCAGGTCTAGAACGTACCCACCCCACTCAAAAATAGCTAATCTTGCGGTTCACATCAACTTTAGGGGGAGCTGGATTGCCTTTAGTTAAAAAAAGAAAGCAGGAAAAGCTTCCTAAAGGCCAAGAATACTGAACATTTAACCTATCAATTCCTACTGTCATAAATATCTCACATACACCAAAATTATATTAATGACAAACAACTTGTTGCTACGTTCCACATACAGATACAAAATGCTGGAGCGTGGCTTGTAAGACCTTGATAAAACCAGGGGTCATAGAGGCAGTTGTACCCAATTAAATCTTGCAGAAAGTAGGCCCATTGAAATGAACAGAGCCAAGTTAGCCATGCTTATTGTTTTGAATGGGTCTACTCTGAGTGGGATTAACATGGCCTACAACCCCAAGGCGTTAATTTGTAACGAGGGAGTGTGTTTCTGTAAAAAGGATCAGTTGATAAGGTGTTGTTGCAATCCCGAGTTTCTGTAAGACTGGCTTGGCTTGGCCTGTCCCAACGCAAGGACAGCCCTTGAGAGAACAAGAAGCAATCATAAGAACCTGGCAGGGATAAAGACCAGAGCACTGAGGACTCCACGTCTCTCAAGGACCAAGGCGTTCTCAGTCTTAATCAGTAGTTAGACATTGACGCTCCAGGAAGACTTGTAAACTTTGATGGATTACGGCAACCCAGAGGGACAACTTTAGTGCAAAATCAGGGGTGGGTGTGAACCTCTCAGGAGCAGCCCATGGTTCAACAGCGCTTGATTGTAGTGAATAGCTCAGAATGGGACACAGAGGAGAGCCAAGTATTCTGACACAGTGTGAGCTGTCTGGTGGCTTCCAGAGCATCACATTGAACAGGGCATGGGATTCAGTCACATCCTTGCAAATTCAGGTGATGCCAATAAAAAGAGGATTCTAAGCCCGCTTCTAAACCAAACCAAACCAATGGATGTTTTGCAGGAAGGAAAGTGATGGGGAAAGGAACAGGGAAAGTGGGTATAACAGCTGCTTGAATCAGCATTGTTTGCCTGGCAAACAGATCAGAATGGTTACTCAATGAATGACGGATGTTGTATAACCTCCACACAAGCTTTGTGCAAATAAAAAGGAGGATGGATACTCAATAAACGGGCTGTCTGAGAGTGATTTCTGACCCTACACTTCTGTGGGATTTTTTTCAGGCAAGGGGACTACATCTAATCTTAGTATTCAAGCCATAGGAAGGATGCCCTGGCCCCTGAGCTCTCTTTGGGAACACAAGCCAGGAGCTTTCAAGTAGGGAAAAAGACCTCAGTTAACTGTGGCACCAGGCAGAATGTGCAGAGGTGGGAAGGCATTTAACTGCTGGAGTAAAGACTTAGACCAGTTCTGCCTTCAACATACTGAGTCAGACCTATTAGTTTATTGTGCTCAGTATTTTCCACACTGAGTGGCAGCTGAGTCCAGGGTTTCAAGCTCAGAATCTCTCTCAGTCCTACATGGGGGTGCCAAAGGGGGATTGAACCTGCATGCAAAGTGAAGGCTAGATGGCAAGTGAGCCCGTATACCTCTGCCCTGCACCGCCCCCCCGGGAAGGACCAATGACTGCCATAGCCCTGCCCTCTTCAAGCTGAAGGAATTTCAAGTTTAATTGAGCCTATTGCCTCCTCAACCTCTGGAACACCTGGACAGCTTTGGGAAGTTGATGGGCTGATGTAGTAGAGATTCAGGGAAGGTTGGGCATCACCTGGGGGAAGCTTAGAAGGTCTCAGCACCTGAGAAAGGGCCCACTCCCACACCCCCTCTAGCCAGTGAGACAACCTGAGTGAGTGCTTGCAAGCTGGGTCAGTGGGAGCCACCATTTTAGTGCCCCCAACACATCACAGCTGCTAGGAATTGTGGGAAATTGGAGCTCACCCAGGCTCCAAACGACCTGAACTGCCCTTCAGATGCCAAACAGATAAATAACCGCACAACTTTCTGAAGACATCTGAAGGTGGCCCTGTATCGGGAAGTTTTTAATGTCTGATGTTTTGCTGCATTTTTATTATGCTGGAAGCCGCCCACAGTGTAGCTGGGGCAATTATTTATTATATAACCACTACAGTTTTAGAAGCTGACTGCCACCTCTCACCTTCCTCTGAGAAGCCTCCCAGAGATTGTGTCTCAGATGGTGACAGGACTTCTGGAACGAGTCCCTCTGGCACGGAGGTGGGGAGCCTCAGGTCCCGGGGCCAATTCTGGCCCTCTGAACCTCCCTCTATGTGGCCTTTGTGGCTCTCCCCAGGGCAATGCCCCTCATTGTCCCTGTTTTGCATTCTCCTTGAGTGCTTTTCACTCGTTGAGAAGTGCCCTTGAACCCCGATAATGCCGTTTTGCTTGGCTAGATGGCGGGAGTGGTGTTTGCGTGCCTGTGTGTGCAGAAACTATCTGGCCACACAAAGGTGAAATTAGCATTTCTTGCCCCGCTTACCACTGACATGTGGCTGCCTAGAGGGGAATGCCCTACTTGTGGCAAGGACCTGGGTCATGTGATTTTAAAAGGCTACTGATACGAAAGCCACACACTGATCTGATTGGAATACTGGGAGGAAGCAGCAGAATGTTTTGAGGAGGAAAAATGCTCTTTATAAGAAAAAAAAATGTACAACATCAAGTGGCAAATGCATGTAGAGAGAGAAACAGGGGGTGGGGATGAAGGGAGCTGGGAACTTCTAGATGGGCCATCCTTCAGGCACAAGTTGCTTCTTGGTTCTCCAGAGGTATTTCATTACCATAGCTGCCATCTCCGTACTGGATGTAAGGAGGTATTTGAGGAGCCTCGATGATCAGCAGCCCCTCTGGTGACAAGGATGCGAAAACTGTGACGGGATCCACTTCTCCAGGAAGCCTAGGGAGGGAACATAATGATTCATAAATAACACACATATTATCATTCAGCCCAGACACCGAGATCCATCTCTGAGGGACTTCTGGTGGTTCCCTCACTGCGAGAAGTGATGTCACTGGGAACTAAGTAACAGGGCCTTCTCAGTAGTGGCGCCCGCCCTGTGGAATGCCCTCTCACCAGACGTCAAACAGATAAACAATCTGAAGGCTGCATATAAATTCTAATAAATTTCTTCTTCATCATATATTGTATGTATATACTGCATTTATTTCCCACCTCTTTCTCTGAGGAGCTCAAGGTGGTTAACGTGGTGGTTCTCCTCATGGTCTAAACCCCGCAACAACCCTGTGAGGTAGGCTAGACTGGGTGAGGGATTTGAACCTTGATCTCCCTGGTCTGACATACTTACCACTAACCCACAGAACTAACAATGAATGAATTAGGCATCCCTGGTAGCTAATCATTTGGCCTTAAATGTTAATTGGGTACATACCCTACATTGAAAGGACACGATCCCCCCCCCAAAAAAGGGTCATGGGAACTGTAGTTAAGAATTTGGGAATTGTAGCTTTGTATTGGGGTAAAAGCAACACCTCCCAGGATTCTGTGAAGGAAGCTATGTGCTTTAAACATGTTTTAAATTTGTGGTGTGTATCCATAAAGGGGGGAGAGTTTAGAAGGGAAAAGGCTTAGGAGAGGGATTATGCTCGCTTTTCTTGTTTCCCCCCCATTTTTTTTAAAAAAGGGGTGTTGTATTGTAATACAGGCTTTGTGTTAAATCTGTGCAAATTCTTTGGCAAGCCGGTTTGGCTGGATGCCTTCGTTTAAGCTGAGTACAAGCACATCAAAGTAAACTTTGGCCGGTGCAAGCAGGAAAGAAGCATGCCCAAATAAGGAGCTCTTGTGAAACTCAAGAGACAGGCCAACCATGGCCTAGTTGGGTTCTCAGTGAGATGGTAAACCTGGAGAAGATTCTTCTACCCTTTGTGACCTGCAGTCCCCTGCTGCTATTTTTTTCTTAATGGCAGAGAAAGTTCCGGAGCATGACTCATCGCTTAAAAGTAAACAATGAGGGCCCGAGAGCATGATGAGGCATAGATTCTAAAATAGACATCAAGAAGCAGCTTTGCAAAGCAACTCCAGGACTGAGCTCAAAGCCCTACCTGAACCATCCATTGAAAGCAGTATGATACAACTTTAAGCAATCTAGGCTTCCCCCAAAGGCTCCTGGGAAATCCACGTAGCTCAGTATTGTCTACACGGAGGCCTCTTCTGCACCGTACATTTAAAGTGGTATCATACCACTTCAAACAGCCACAGCTTCCCCCCAAAGAATCTGATGGTCATTTATACCTCTGGCACCCCCCTGCTGCTAGCCTCTGGCTTCTTAGCACCCCTCAAGGTAACCCCCACTGCCCAGAGGGCAGTGCCACCTGCTTTGGGAATCACTGCCCCATAGCGTGGAGCTCTGGCCAAATGACACCTTGTCCTGTGAGGGGTGGGGAACGGCCAAGGATTTCCATGAATGTGCAGAACGCCCCTACTCCAGTGTTTTGAGGGGTCTGTCCTCTTCCTCCCCTCTCCCAATTAACCTGTTTCCAGACAGCCTGGGGGCTCCTCAAAATGCCTATCAGCTCAGAGCATCAGCACAAGATAGCCATGAGAGTGACCACGCTGCTGTCAGCCGGGAGGAAAGGTCAACATTGCTCCAGCCTTACTGGCACCCAGAGAGCCCTGTATCATCTTTACAGGAAAAGGTTCCAGGAGCGCGATGGGCAGAGGTCAAAGAGTCAGTGAGCAAGTAAGGAGAGGCTTTCAATCTGCTTGCCTGGTGAGCTGATTCTGTAATAAAATCCTGCCAAGCGGGGAAGGGGAAAGCCTGAATGTCGGTTCAAGGCAGGGAGCCCATATCCTTGAAATCCAGAGCAGGCTGGCCTCTGCAGCATACAATACATTCAGCATCCCTAACAGCTGACCCTGATCAAACTAGTGTTCAGAGAAGTTAACCTAAAGGCAACCATCAATTTATTTTTTCTGTTAAAAACAGGTTTCCACTAATTTAGTGCCCTTCAGATGTTCTGGGGCTGATGGGTAGGGTTGTCAGGTCAGGAGCATCCCAGACCCTGAGATTTTAGGGCCCAAACCTGAGACCTATTGGCGGTCTCTGGTGATGTCATGGTGACAGGCCCTGGTGATTCTTCCTCTGCACTCTCTCCCACCACTGACCTTTGGAGACAGAGGTTAATTGGGAGAGGGGAGGAGGAGGACAGACCCCTCAGAAAGTCTATGTAATCATTTGTAGCTTGCTTCTGCCAGGCTTAAGCTTGCAAGGTGCAGTCATAGTAGTTTGCTCCTGCTTTGAAGGCATTCCCAGCCGGAGATTCAAGCCCTCTCTCTGCCACCTGGAGGGGGCCAGGAAAAACCTGGAGACTTCAGGTCAGCCCTGGAGGTCTGGCAACCCTATTGATGGGAGATGTAATCCCAAATATCTGGAGTTGGAGTTGGCTCAGAGTCGGGGAACTCGTGGCTAAGTCGTTGTTGAACTCCAGCTCCCATCAGCCCCAATCAGCATGACCCACCCCCTTTTAATTTGCCCAAAATTGAATGCCCTGTCCTATAGATCTATGAAATCTAGGTGCCCAGTGAGGAGGGTGGTAAGTGACAGCATAGCTGGGTCATGAGGAGCCCTTCTGAGAAGCTGGAGACCTTGGCTCACTGACTTGGCTGATCGGTGGCACTGGACCCAGGCAGAAATATACTTTCCCCAGACCTATTTAGAAGCTCCCTGGTATGGTAAGGTAAGGTAAGGTGAGGTAAGGGACCCCAGGGCGATAAATTCCAGTCAAAGGTGACTATGAGGTGTGGCACTCATCTTACTTGCAGGCCAAGGGAGCCAGCGTTTTTCCACAGACAGCTTTCCGGGTCATGTGGCCAGCATGACTAAACTGCTTCTGGCGCAATGGAACACCGTGACGGGAGCCAGAGCACACAGAAATGCTGTTTACCTTTCCGCCACAGTGGTACCTATTTATCTACTTGCACTGGCATGCTTTCGAACTGCTAGGTTGGCAGGAGCTGGGACAGAGCAACGGGAGCTCACCTCGTCATGGGATTCAAACCCTTGATCTTCTGATTGGCAAGCCCAAGAGGCTCAGTGGTTTAGACCACAGTGCCACCCATTTCCCTGGGAAATGAAGTTATGAAATACTTACTGGATTTTCTTGGTAAAGTTTTTGGATACAATTCCGCCTTCCACCTGTTGTTCTTCATGTTTACCTGCAAAGAACAGAGGGGAGTTTTTTGGTGTAGGAATTCCACAGCGCAACAACTTTCCATGAAGCTTGCCACACATTCTGGTTTGTTAACTCAGCTGGTTATTATAATTTCATGTTGCTTGGGGGTGGGTGTTAAAGCAGCAGTTCTCAAACATTGCCCCCCATCCCAAGCAGACCATCTGAAAATTGTAGGGGAGTCTCAGTGGCCTACTTGATCTTTCATTCATATAGCACCAGCGTCATTTTCAAATCTAGCATGGAATTATCAAAATCACAGTCTGCAGAGGAGGGCCACTTACCTAGTATGTTTTAAGAAACAATTAGCAATTACACCAGCTCCATCTGCACTATACATTTAAAGCTGTACCATCCCACTTTAAGCAGTCATGGTTTCCTCCCAAAGAATCATGGGAACTGTAGTTTGTTAAGGGTTCTGGGAATTGTAGCTCTGAAAATTCCCAGGATTTTTTTTTTTTTGTGGTGTGTTCTTTAAATGTATGGTGCATATGCAGCCTCTCTCAATCTCACCTCATGTTGAGTTAGGACAATTTTTTTTTTTACTGTTGCCTTCTAAATAATGTTATGACTTTACACAATTTCAGCTCTGTGGGGTTTCATTCCTCTGCCTTTACTTTTTAAAAATTGATTTGTCCCTGTAAAAGTTTCTTTCCCTTTGTTCTCTATCATGGCTTTTTAAAAAAGCGATCTGTTAAACTACAATGAAGGCATTTTGCTGTTGCAATATTGTTTAATCCATATATATATATATATATATATATATATATATATATTAAACTGCTTTCAGGTTTTACTACAAATCTTGAGAAACAAACAAACAGAAATAAACTGTCCAGAGAACTTGGGTTATAGGGTGGCCTATGATTGTATAAATAAAATAAACAGTGGGGTAACATGGGGCGTAAATTGCATGGGATGCAAGCTGAACTCTGCCCTGAAGCAAGGCAGGATTATTTATTATTTTAACTACTAAATGTTGATCCCATTTCTTCCAAAGGAGCCCAGGGTGACAAACAATGAAATATAAACTCTCTCTCTCTCTCTGTGATATCATATATCTATCTATATAATATATAAAAAGCCAAATATTCTCAAACTAAATTAATGGTTTTTTTGCTCATTAGTTTTTATTAATTTTTCAAAATTGTTAACAAATAAACCTCAAATTACTGTATTTTCCCATGTATAAGACCCTCCCGTGTATAAGATGCCCCTATTTTTTGGGACTCAAAATTAAGAAAATGCACTATGCACTATCCGTGTATAAGACAACCCCTTATTTTAAACTTGAAAAATTTAGGAAAAAATATAGTCTTATACACGGGAAAATACAGTAATTCAAATTTAAAAGCTGACTTCCCACCCTTATCCTACGATGCTGCCATTCCCCCCCCCCTTTTCTGGCCGCATTATATAACATAAAAAGGTGAAGGTAAAGGACCCCTGACAGTTAAGTCCAGTGGCAGATGACTCCGGGGTTGCGGCTCTCATCTCGCTTTATAGGTCTAGGGAGCCAGTGTTTGTCTGCAGACAGTTTTTCTGGGTCATGTGACCAGCATGACTAAGCCGCTTCTGGTGCAACGGAACACCGAAACCAGAGCAGTGCACAGAAACGCCATTTACCTTCCCGCCAGAGCGGTACCTATTTATCTACTTGCACTTTTTAGCATGCTTTCGAACTGCTAGGTTGGCAGGAGCTGGGACTGAGCAACGGGAGGCAGGGACGGCTGCCGAATTGGGTGCATTTAAAGGAGGCTTAGACAAATTCCTAGAGGATGCAGTTATTGATGACTGCTAACCATGATGCTGTGGGTTAAACCACAGAGCCTAGGATTTGCCGATCAGAAGGTCGGCGGTTCGAATCTCCGCGATGGGGTGAGCTCCCGTTGCTCGGTCCCTGCTCCTGCCAACCTAGCAGTTCGAAAGCACGTCAAAGTGCAAGTAGATAAATAGGTACCGCTCCGGCGGGAAGGCAAACGGCGTTTCCGTGCGCTGCTCTGGTACGCCAGAAGCGGCTTAGTCATGCTGGCCACATGACCCGGAAGCTGTACACCGGCTCCCTCAGCCAATAAAGCGAGATGAGCGCCACAACCCCAGAGTCAGCCATGACTGCACCTAATGGTCAGGGGTCCCTTTACCTTTACCTAACCATGATGGCTGTGTTCTACCTTCACTGTCAGAGGCAGGGTACCCTGTCATTGGGAATCAAAACTGGAGAGAGGTGATGTTGCCCCCAGGACCTGCTTGTGGGTTTCCAAAGAGGCATCTGACTGGCCACTGTGAGAACAGGATGGACCTTTGGCCTGATCCAACGAGATTTTTATTACGCTCAGACACCAAATGCGTGGCTGGACAGGAATCTTTTAAAACTCTACCTACAGGTTAATAATAAGGGAAGAGAGATGCAGGTCTTTGCCAGCCAGGGCAGCACCCAGCAGTGATTTAAAAACATGCTGTGCTCCAGTTACTGCGGGCGTTACTGATATGCTGTTCAGCTGCTGCGTCTATTTTTGACCTGGCCAATCCTTGTACCTGGATTGTTTTCTCCTAGCTACCGAATGGTAGCGAGATACCAAGGTGGGGTGGTATATCTCTGTATTAAATACACATACAGTGGTACCTTGGTTCCCAAACGGCTTAGTTGTCGAACAAATCAGCTCCTGAACACTGCAAACCCAGAAGTGAGTGTTCTGGTTTGCAAATGTTTTTAGGAAGCTGAACGTCAGACGCGGCTTCTGCTTGAGTGCAGGAAGCTCCTGCAGCCAATCGGAAGCCGTGCCTTGGTTTTCGAATGGTTTCAGGAGTCGAATGGACTCCTGGAACGGATTAGGTTTGAGAACTAAGGTACCACTGTATAAAGAAAAGCCAACTAAATTTTACTATGAGTAGAACTATTGAGATGAATGGACCTAAATTGGTCATGTTCATTAATGGCAATGAGTCTACAATGAGTAGGATTAGCACTAGACACAACCAAGTACAGTGGTACCTCAGGTTACATACGCTTCAGGTTACAGACGCTTCAGGTTACAGACTCCGCTAACCCAGAAATAGTACATCGGGTTAAGAACTTTGCTTCAGGATGAGAACAGAAATCGGGCTCCGGCAGCACGGCAGCAGCAGGAGGCCCCATTAGCTAAAGTGGTGCTTCAGGTTAAGAACAGTTTCAGGTTAAGAACGGACCTCCAGAACGAATTAAGTACTTAACCCGAGGTACCACTGTATCTTCATATTTGCTCCCTGTTTTGCTTCTGATCACATTTCACTAGTGGGCAACTCTCGCTTGAAGCCATGAATCCGGTTGCAGCCTTTGTGCTAAGCATAGGAGTGGAGGATAGGTTCGTGGCTACTAGCCAATGAGATACTTCTCCATGAATTGGTCCAAAAGTCTTTTAACAAATCCAAGTTCCTGTGGGAGCGAGTTCTGTAGTTCAACTATGTACTGTACAAAGAAGCCATTTCTTCTGTCTTTCAGCGCCTGCTAAACACATTCTTGTTTAGACAAGCCTACCCAGATTCCTAGAAACGCTGGCATGGATTTTATCTTTCTGTAAACCACTTTGAGGTGCTTTTTAAACCCAACAATCAAGCAATGATTTTATGAAATTAATATGTCCTGAATCTTCCAGCATTCAGCTTTGTTGGATTCCCCTGGGTTTCAGTGTTATCAGAGAGGGAGACAAACTTTTCTCTATGCTGTACATCGTTTTATACATGAGGCTCCAGCATCGCCAGGAACAGCTGCTGTCTGAGGCACCGCCATAAAAACGCTCAGAAAATCTCTACGGAATGGAATTCCCTGGCAAGAGTCTACCCACAGACTGCCCTCATGGCAGACAGGTTGTCTCTGCCGTCATTCCCAACAGCTTCTGGGTGAACTAGCAAGAGCCTCAGCAGGAGCGAATCCACCTCAGATACGGCTCTGGAGAAACAGCTGCTGCTGCTGACATTCTCTCCCTAGGCCACATTCATACCGCACATTTAAAGCACTATGGCGACATTTTAAACATCCTCAGCTTCCCCCAAAGAATTCTGGGAGCTGTTGTTCGCTAAGGGTGCTGAGAGGAGACCCCCTTTGCCCCTTGCAAAGCTACAATTCCCAGAGTGGTTTAACAACAACAATTGGTTATTTATATGCTGCCCATCTGACTGGGTCGCCTCAGCCATTCCTCCTTCCTGGGCAACTCTGGGAATTATAGTTCCGGGAAGGGAATAAGGGTCTCTTGACAACTCTCAGCACCCTGAACAGACTGCAACTCCCAGAATTCTTTGGGAGGAAGCAGTGAAAGTGGTATCATAGCATTTTAAATGTATAGCGTGAAAATGGCCTCAGTACATTCAGCATAGATTTCAGTCACCACACAGAACATGGGTATTTATTCTAGGCAGGCCGGATCCCTGACCAGCCCTGTGATTATCCATGAACCACCTGTTGATGTGCAGAATAATGTAGGGAGAGAGAGACAGAGATTGCCATCCATCAACAACCTTATTAAAACTGTTTGCACACTATACTTTAAAAGGCATTCAAAACACATTCCTTTCCTCAGAGAATGACGGGCACTGTAGTTCCACCCCTCACAGAGTTAAAATTCCCAGCAACCCTTAAACTGCCCAGAATTCTTTGAGGGAAAGGATGCGCTTCAAGTGCGTTTTAAAAGTATAGTTTGTACACAGCAGGTCTCCCAGATGGCTGCTATTTGCGGGTGAGATTCAAGGCCCATCCATACTGTCGTTCAATGTTGATAGCCAGTTTCCTGTACGTCTGCGTATTCTCCGTTGTTTGTATGATATTTCTCCTCTAAATCACTGTCTTCACACACCTTCTCCTCCTTCAATCTGGATTTTTTTAAATACCCTCTTCTCCTTTTTGGAGTGCCCCTGGTATGAGGAAATCCAAACTGAGAGAAGGGTGTACGATGGCCGCGATTTGTAGGAGAACACCATATGGTCAATACGATGGTCATCAAATAGCTGGCTTTGTCTAACCTCCCTGAAAACCAATCACGATGAATGCTCATAAAGAGATTGTTTGGAAGTGACCTAAGGGATGTCCCGAACTTAAAAATCAATGCAGGAATACCTTGACCCCAGATATCTCTTGCCTTGAGTGGGCATCTGTGTGCTGTCATAGCACATGGCATCGCATGGGGATGGTGAATGCATGTACAGTGTTACGCACATTCCAGTGCCAAACTGATTAGACCAGCTTTCCCCAGCCAATGACTAGTGGTGTGTGGTAACACAGAGGCAGGCTTTTTCACTGGAGGCACCTGCTGAAATATGAGAGGCCCCATCACTATTGGCATTCCGCTGGCTCCTGAAGGCACTCCTGTTTAGGGAAGCGTTCCCCTGAGCTGAACTTGTGATTTTATCATTGTAACTGTTTTCTTCTCTTTTCTTTTTAAAAACTGTATTAACTGTCATGCTTCCAAATTGTTTTATTGACTATTTTAACTGAGGATGCTTTAACGTGATTGTGTGTGTGTGTGTGTGAGTGCGCATTTAAATTATGGATTGGCTTCATATTTGCAAACCACTTAGAACAAGTCATTTTGTCATATAAGTGGCATCAATCTAATCATCACCATCATCTGATGCCTTCCATATTGTTTTGGACCACAACTTGCCTCAGCCCCAGCTAATATGATCTAGTGTATAATTTACATGCACTGTGGATGGGGGAATCTTAGAACTGGTTCAGACATGCATGTTGATGACTAAACCAGGGGTCTGCAACCTTTAAGACAAAAAGAGCCACTTGGACCCGTTTCCGAAGAAAAAACAACTGGGAGCCGCAAAACTCGTCATTATAAAAATAACCTTTTTGTCACTTTTTTATTATTTCTTTGTTTGACCCCTCAGAATTACTCCTCCTCATAGAAATAAACATTAAATTAACAAGTTACCTTTGTGTGTGTGTGTGTTCTTCACTCCCCTTCAAAACAGTGACCAGCGTACATGCCCCCTTTCAATGCAGTGACCAGCGTAGATGCCCCTTACAATGTAGCGGGCGGGCGGGCAGGGGCTGTCGGGCCGGTGCGGGGCTAACGCACGCCCCGCCCCCATGCGACGTCACAGCCAGTACAGCGCCCGTCACAGTGGGGAGTGTCGGGACACACAATGCGCCTCCTCCCCTCGCTAGTATCTGCCCCGGAGCCGCGGCAAAGGTGTAAAAGAGCCACATGCGGCTCCGGAGCCGCGGGTTGCAGACCCCTGGACTAAACTATCCAGCGAGGCTGGGCAGCTTCAGATTTAAAAACAAAAACAAAACACTACTGGGGAAGTGCCATAGCTCAGTGGTTAGGGCAGTTGCTTTGCATGCAGAAAAGCACAGGTTGGATTCCTGGGACTGGGAAATACTCATTGCCTGAAACCCCCAATAACTGCTCCTTCTCAATGTAGACAGTATTGAGCTAGATGGATTAATGGCTTGACTTGGTACAAGATGGCTTCCTATGCTCCTTTTATATCAGGGAAGGGACGTAGCACAGTGGTAGAGCATCTGCTTTGCATGCAGAAGGTCCCGGGTTCAATCCCTAGCATCCCTAGCGAGGGCTGGGAGAGATCCCTTGCCTGAAACCCTGGAGAACCTCTGCCAGCCAGTGTAGACAGTAGTGAGCAAGGTGGACCAATGGTCTGACTCAGTATAAACCAGCTTCCTAGGAACCACAGAACTCCAAACAGAAGGCATCTCGAAAACAAGCAGTTCACACATGTGGCAACCGGCCAGGAATCAAATGACGCACTTTGCTTTCATTCTCCCTGTCTCAGAAGCCTGACAGGCTTCAACTAGATGTCGGGGATTGAATGTCACTAACCCCATGCTGCGGAAAGCAGAGGCCTCCTCGCTTTCAACTTTGTCTCTTGAAGACCCTTGTTCAGGTCTTTGCAGCTGTTGAATTATTCTTATAAAGAGCCAGTCACGTTAGTGATCATTCTGCATTGTTTTCAACACTCCTTTAGGCTTCACTGCATTCCTCTACATTCTTACACATCACCTAGGTATTTTATAGGAGTGGGTGGTATATAGATACTTTAATATCAGATGGGTAGCATATAAATAGTAATTTTTTATTATTATATCAGACTTCCTCAACCTCAGCCCTCCGGATGTTTTTGGCCTACAACTCCCAAGATCCCTAGCTAGCAGGACCAGTGGTCAGGGATGATGGGAATTGTGGTCTCAAAACATCTGGAGGGCCGAGGTTGAGGAAGCCTGTTATATTATTATTACAGTATTAATGCACAGATCCCAGAAAATCCTATTAAAGCACATTAATTCATTTCCCCCCCTGGTTGGGGCGATGAAAAAAAGAGGCTTTGGTTGATTAGTTTCCCCGCCTCCCCATCTTCAAACGGGAATTGAATTTCAGTGAATTTGGAGATTATAAAATGAATCACGATAGGTGCTTTCTGGAGATAGCGAAGGCTGTTCAATCAGCAACATATATTTCTTCCCCCACCCCCCCAAAAATCCTAGGCAGTTTGTTAAGGGTGCTGAAAGTTGTTAGGAGACCCTATTCCCCTCACAAAACTACAATTCCCAGCATGGTTCAACAGTCAATCCCTCTTCTCAGGGAACTCTAATAAATAATAATAATAATAAAAATAATAATAATACCCTGTCCATCTGGCTGGGTTTCTCTAGCCGCTCTGGGAATTGCAGCTCTCTGGGAGGAATAGGAGTCTCCAAACAACTCTCAACACTGTTAAAACCTACAGTTCTCAGGATCCTTTGGGGGATGCCATGACTGCAAAGTCAGCAATTTAGTGGTTAGAGCATCAGATTAAGAACTGGAGACCCAGGTTCAAATCCTCCCTTGGCCCTGTAGCTCACTAGGTAACCTTGGGCCTGTCACTGACTCTTAAGCCTCACATACCTCACAGGGTGGTTGTGGAGGTTAAAGAAGGAAGCGAAGAATCACATACGTCTCCATGAGGGGGGAAAGGTGGGATAATATAGATGCAATAAAACAAATAATAAATAAGATGTGATGACACGGCCTTAACTGGGTAGTGAAGATGGGTTCTTAGTCTTACACACATTTCGAACGCTTGATCTGACATGCACCTTCCCACCCCAAATCCAAAATGGCACCCCTCTACTTAATTTCCCCATCACTCACCTGAGACTTCCACATAACCGTCCTTTGTTTTCACCATCAGTTCCTCGGGTTTAAAGCTCTGCACGTTGACACACACTTTCCACGGCTCCCCAGAAAAGGGGGGAGGGCTGCCTCCAAAGGCCGGACCTTCCGGGTACTCCCCAAATCTGGGGCCATATCCTGGCGGGGATAGGCCAGTGGTCCGGGACCTCAGCGACCCCGGCCACGCTGGACCCAGTCGGGAGCGGGTCCAGTCCGGCCAGTCTGAGGTCAGGCCTGTGGGAAAGGAGGACAGGCCAAAGTCATCGTCCAGAAGCCGCGAAGACAAGCTGGGTTCCCGGAACGTGTCTCGAAGGGTCCGGTGCCGGCCGGGATAATGGCATGAGAAGGGGATCTGGCTGTCAGCCATGACAAGTTTCTTCTGAGTCGGAGCCGAGAAGAGTCAGAGACTAAGGGAGAGAAAAATCCAAGAAAGATAACTTGATTGAATTTGGTTCAGGGCCCAAAAATATCACTCAAGTGCTGTATGTGAAATTTCAGCTTCAAAGGTCCTGGTTCGATACCTGGATACTTCCCCGCTTTTAAAGCACCCAAAATGAAAATGTTTCCGTCTGCAAATCTGAAATGAGAAAGCACCTCTTCAATGCTGAGAAATGAACCAGAGGAGCTCCTGTTTGCTTTTGAATTCCGGAGAGGAGGCGAGCAATCCTTTGGCCGCAAGGTTGAAAAGCAAAAGCACCTGGCTGCTGTGATCTCCTGATGAAAAAACTCCCTCTCCTGTTGCTCACACAGGAGCTTAAATAAACCTCTTTCGTAAGAGCCGCGAAACTTCTCTGAAGTTCTAGGCAGCTGCTTGCCCTCTATTTATAAGCGCTTTAGTGCTGCTGCTGGTGTTGCAATGCGTGCCCTGCAAAGCCGTATTTTTGGAGAGGGTGAAGCAGCCCTGGAGAATCTGGGCTGAGACAGCTGACTTCACCCCAGTGGGACAGACAAGCCCCAATGGAGAGCCAAGTTTAGACAGCCTCTCTCACCAGCCCCACCTTCTGCTTGGCTTCTTCCCTCTTAACATAAAGCAGGCAAGGCAGCTATTATTAGTTTGGGGTGTCAGGCCTGTTCCTCTGCAAACATCTCTTAATATCACCTCTTGGGGGTTTGCCCTGAAAACAAAGAGCCTTGTTGTTGTGGCACCTTTAAAAAGCCAAGGGACATAGGAAGCTGCCTTATGTTTTTTCTGGGGGGAAGCCTTTTAGCTCAGTGCTTTGCAAGCAGAAGGTCCTAGGCCCAATCCCTGGTTTCCATCTCTAGGTAGGGTTAGGAGAGATTCCCGGTTTGAAACCCTGGAGAACCAATCAATGTTGACAATCCTAAAACAGATGGAGCAACTCCGTCTAATGGATATTTATTTGGGGAAAATCCATGGGTCAGTGGAAGAGGACCTGCCTTGCATGGACAAAGCTCCCAGGTCTAATCCCTGGCACCTCCAGGTAGGAGAGGGTTCTGTGGCTGCTCAGTTATGCTAATGCATGGGTAGGCAAACTAAGACCCAGGGGCCGGATCCAGCCCAATCGCCTTCTAAATCCGGCCTGCGGACGGTCCAGGAATCAGCATGTTATTACATGAGTAGAATGTGTCCTTTTATTTAAAATGCATCTCTGGGTTATTTGTGGGGCACAGGAATGCGTTCATTATTTTTCTCTCAAAATATAGTCCGGTCCCCCCACAAGGTCTGGGGGGGGGGGGAGTGGACAGGCCCCCTGCTGAAAAAAGTTTGCTGACCCGTGTCTAATGCATCAGGAAGAACCACCTGGACAAAATTGCAGTACAGTGGTACCTTGGGTTACAGACACTTCAGGTTACAGACTCCACTAACCCCAGAAATAGTACCTCGGGTTAAGAACTTTGCTTCAGGATGAGAACAGAAATCGTGTGGTGGCAGCGGGAGGCCCCATTAGCTAAAGTGGTGCTTCAGGTTAAGAACAGTTTCAGGTTAAGAACGGACCTCCAGAACGAATTAAGTTCTTAACCTGTGGTACCACTGTAAACTGTAAGGTCTAAAGAGAAAAATATTGCATGCTTTGTGAAGTCCCCAATCTACACGTACATCTGCATTTTATGATTGGGTTGGTTCAGGTAGCGGCTCTGCTTTTTATATACAGTTGTATAGTTATATAGATATTTCTTTTCCTGACAGTGTTTGCATGGTTTTGTCATGGCCTTTGGCTAGTACAGTAAAGCTTATTTTGATTGATTTGAGGTAGGCCTGAGAGAGCTGCTGCAAATCAGTGTGTGCAATGCTGAGCTCTTATCTGTGTTTATTGGGCATTTGTTCTGGGATAGTTATGTGACAAAGAGCATGACCACTATTATTATTTATTGATGATGATTATGAGTGATTACATTCATTATTATAATTATATTATTTATAATTATCCCAATTCATTCATCATGTAGTCATTTTGATTTGAGGGGTGCTTATACCATCAGCCTTTCATCCACTTTTCAGTGAGGGGTTTCCTGACAACTCTCAACATCATTAAAAACTAAAGTGCTCAGGATTTTTGGGGGGGAAGCCATGACAGCAGAGGCAGAGTGGTGTAGTGGTTAGTGTTGGACTAGGACCTGGGAGACCAGGTTGAACCCCCCCTTCAGCTGTGAAGCTCACTAGGTGGGCTCGAGCCAGTTGCTTCCTCCCAGTCTAACCTACCTCACAGTACTGTGGAAGAAAAGGTGGGATATAAATGCAATAAGAATAATGAATATATTGCCTCATCTTGTGGCAGTGAGTCCCACAAGTTAATTACACACCATGTGAAGAAGTACACAGCTAGGTGGGGCGTTGAGGATACTTTTCCTGGGTGCAACCCTGTCTGGGGGCAACAGGCATCAAAGATCATGCTGTAATAATATTATTTAAATACCTGTAATTATCATTATGTAATGTTTTCCTTTCAGCATGGAATAATTAAAGATGAGCCAGCATTGTGCAGTAGTGGTTAGAGGGTCAGATTAGAATGTAAGAGATCCTGGCTGAAGTCCCCACCCATTGAACAACTCCAGTCATTTAGCTCAGTATCGTCTATCGAGGGAAACTTTGGCCCACCAGATGTTGCTGAACTACAACTCCCATCATTCTTGACTATTAGCCATGACTGCTGAGGCTGTTGGGAGTTGGAGTCCAACAGCAACTGGAGGGCTGAAGATCCCCCAAGCCCTGGTCTCTTCTGAGTGGCGGTGACTGCAGGGTTTCAAAAGGGAGTTTTTCCTAGCCCAAGAAACTGTTGACCACCCATCCGTCTGCCCTTTGTTTTGTGCATACAGAAGTACCTCGGTTTTCGAACGCCTCCGTAGTCAAACGTTTCGGAACTCGAATGCCCAAAACCCAGAAATAAATGCCTCGGTTTTCGAACGCACCTCGGAAGTCGAACAGGAAACGCGGCTTCTGTTTTGAGTTTTCAGTTTTGAGGCTTTTGGTTTTGGAATGTTTTAGAACTTGGATGGACTTCCGGAACGGATTACATTCGAAAACTGAGGTACCACTGTACTAGGAATGCCCTCAAAGAAGCCCGGGAAGAGGAATTCAAGGTAAGAATTTCAGTTTCCCCCAGCCCAAAGCATGTGCTGCGCTACTGAGCTATGACAATTCCCCTGGCGCTCAGTGTTCCTGAAGCTTATGGGGAGACCCTGGGCCATAATCTTTGAGTCTATCCCACCTCACAAGGTTGTTGTGATAAAAGATGTCTGTGGGAAGAACGCAAGAAGATCAAACCTATCCATTCTTAAGGAAATCAGCCCTGAGTGCTCACTGGAAGGACAGATCCTGAAGCTGAGGCTCCAATACTTTGGCCACCTCATGAGAAGAGAAGACTCCCTGGAAAAGACCCTGATGTTGGGAAAGATGGAGGGCACAAGGAGAAGGGGACGACAGAGGACAAGATGGTTGGACAGTGTTCTCGAAGCTATGAACATGAGTTTGACCAAACTGCGTGAGGCAGTGGAAGACAGAGGTGCCTGCCGTGCTCTGGTCCATGGGGTCACGAAGAGTCAGACACGACTAAACAACTAAACAACAATAACAATGGAAAGAACCACTTAAGAACCTCAGGCCTAGGGGTCAAATGCAGCTTTCCAGGCCTCTCTATCCGTCCCTTAGCATATTTCTCAGGCCATACCCTGCACTGGTCCTGCTTCATGCCCCAAATGTTTTTGCCTGGCTGGAATGTGTCTTGATAATGCCTCACGCTTGTTTGGGTCGAGGACACAGAGGTGTGTGTATAGAAGGTACCGGTAGTTTAATGTACCAAAGTAAAAACTGCATTCATTGCTCTACTCACTTTTGCCCCTGGCCTGGCCCACAACAGACATGTGGCCCCCAGAATCTTGCACACAAGAGAATGTGGCTCTCTGGTTCTAAAAGGGTTTAAGCCTTCCTGATCTCCGTGGATGAAGAAAGCAAAATGAGCCTACTAAATATATAAAGCTTTCCAGATAGTAGATTAAAAAAGCTAGACGTCAGCTTTCTCGGAGGCTTAGTCAGGGCAGCAGGCCACACCTGCAGCCTAACCCAGCGTAGCACATTCAGCTTTGTCAAGAAGGATAAAATTGGGGAGGGGGGGCATGACATCAAACAGTGGCAGCAGCCAGCAGGGGTTACTCGCAAGCACCTCTCAACAGGAGCAGTCTTGCCTAAGCAGCTTCAACACCATTTCCCCAGTAATATCTTTAAAAAGCCCATGACTATGTGCCTTAACCCAGCATTGGTTCCGGCCAAAGGGGGTGAAGAGTTCAGAGAGCTTGTCTCAGGTGTAGGAATGTCTATTTATGGCACCGAGTGCCAAGGCTGTTTTTAAAGCACCGCTTTTAAAAGTTGGCAACCTTATTTGCAGGCGATAGCCTACTTTTTAGGGTTGTATCATGCTGCCTGAGGTTGAATCAGACCATCTTGTCAAGCCCTGATGACTGACTGGCAGCAGTCATAGGGGGTCTCAGCAGGAGGCGTTCATATCACCCATCACCCGAGAGCTCTTCTTAACTAGAAATGTGGAGGATTAAAACCTTAGATTTTCTCCATGGATGAGATGAACAAAATGCACGAGGTTACAACAAACAGGGTGGATTTGATTTAAATCATTTTTTTACAGAAAGACTCATTCTTGCTGGTATAATCTTAATTTTTACAACCAGAGGAAGGTTTCATTTTTGGAATTATAAATTTTCAGAGTAGTTTTTACAAAAAATTCTGATTTGATTATATTATTAGAAATACATAGACAGATAATTATGAAATTATTGTGAGGTTTAATAAGTTAACTGTTTATATTTGGGCAACTTTTCTGCTGTACTTTTATTGGAAGGAGAAAAACAATCATTTCCTTAATAACAATTTAAACTGTTTATTTAACTAAAACAATAACATTATAGCATATGGATCCATGTTTGTTAACCAATGTGGTTAACCAATTAAAAAAACCCCAAAAACTTAGACTGAGTTTTAGCGCACATGAAAAATTTTAAGCAAATCCTTATTTCCTGATGAATAGCCTTTGGACTATAATGTAACTTAAATAGAAAACTGTCTTTAGAAATATTTTTCCTCCAAAAGCATTTTATTTTAAAAATCTGATTTAAATTAAAAACAATCCAATTTAAATAAAAGAATCTGATTTTTTAAAAAAATCATTGATTTTTATCCACCCTGGCAATAAAGGCACTTGATATTATTATAGAAAAATATGGGACGTGCTCACTCAGAACAAAATGTTGCGGTGTGGAGTGTTTTAAACTGTGTTTTAAATGTTGTAACCTGCCGTGGGACCCTAGGGTGAAGGGCAGTTAAACAATAATGAGTTAAAAGGGCCCGACCCCCTTTTCGGATTGTTTTAGGATTCTCCTCATTCCGGAAACTATAGTTTACCCCCGCAGGGCTATAATTCCTGGCACCAAGAAACAAACTTTAGTTTCCAGAATTCTTAGTTTTAAGTGTATGGTGTACAGGCAGCCTAGGACAGAATACTGAAACTGTAGAAGCTATGTGTCTTTGCTTAAGGTCTATACAAACTGCTCGCTTTCAATGAACTACCGTATGCATTCTGGTTTGAGCAGTTTAGAAAGCAGATTATGTCTCGCCACATGTGCGAAATTGACTGAGCCTGAGTCAGCACCCAAAGGGAGAGTCCTGCTGTCAGTAGGTGTTGACAGCTGGTATCTAAGGCAAAGTCTGGAGCTGGTGGAGTAACTGGGAAGGATGAACCTTTAGGATAAGCTGGTTTATCGGGGTACTTCTGCACAGTCTCAAGATTTCCCCAAGCTTGCTGGTGCTCCCATCTTGTGCCTGGATGCTGTGTTTTTGACAACATAAACAACAGCTCTCATAGCTTCAACACTGGAAATAGAGGGAATTTAGTCCGATTGGGCTCTGAAGTAAGCAACTGTATATTCTAGGCTAAAACTGTACAGTGGTACCTTGGGTTACATACGCTTCAGGTTACAGACTCCACTAACCCAGAAATAGTACTTTGGGTTAAGTACTTTGCTTCAGGATGAGAACAGAAATCGCGTGGCAGCAGCAGGAGGCCCCATTAGCTAAAGTGGTGCTTCAGGTTAAGAACAGTTTCAGGTTAAGAACGGACCTCCGGAACGAATTAAGGACTTAACCCGAGGTACCACTGTACAGTGGAACCTTGGGTTGCGAATGTGATCCATCCAGGAGGCACGTTCGCAACCCGCAGCGCTGCGTCTGCGCATGCGCGTGACATAATCTGGCGCTTCTGTGCATGTGCAAAGCACGATTTAGCGCTTCTGCACATGTGCCGAAACCCGGAAGTAACTCGTTCCGGTACTTCCGGGTTCAGCGCGTCCGTAACCTGAAAACGCGCAACCCACAGCGTTCGCAACCCGAGGTATGACTGTAGTCAAATCCATACCACATACAGTGGTACCTCGGTTCTCAAACTTAATCCGTTCCGGAAGTCCGTTCCAAAACCAAAGCGTTCCAAAACCAAAGTGCGCTTTCCCATAGAAAGTAATGCAAAATGGATTAATCCGTTCTAGACTTTAAAATACAACCCCTAAAACAGCAATTTAACATGAATTTTACTATCCAACGAGACCATTGAACCATAAAATGAAAGCAATAAACAATGTACTGCAGTCACACAATCAATCAATAAGTAGCTGAACTGGGTTCCACACAGTCACAAAAACAAAACAAAAAGAGCCGCAAAATAAATAGCAAAAACAGACAGACCTCAGTGTAACACTCAAAATGGAAGTGTGGCACTCAAAATGGAAGCGTAACACTTGAAACGGAGCATGTTTGGCTTCTGAAAAAGGTTCGCAAACTGGAACACTTACTTCCAGGTTTGCAGTGTTTGGGTTCCAAGTTGTTTGAGTACCAAGGCGTTTGAGAACCAAGGTACCACTGTATTTTAAGCACACAGTTCCCTCTGCCCCAAGAATGCTGGGAACTTTAGCTCATCCCTCACAGAGTTATACTTCCCTTAACAAAATGTGGCTCCCAGGATTCTTTGGGGAAAGCACTTTAAATTTATGTTGTGGATGCGACCTGTTGTAATGAAAGTTCAGAAGCTGCTGCCAGTCAGCGTAGACAATATTGAGCTATATGGGCCAGTGGCCTTACTCAGTATAAAGCAGCCTCCTATGAGAGGGAAATCTGTGACAGAGCATATGATTTATATTCAGGCGGCCCCAGGCTTGACCCCTGGCGTCTCAGTGTAGGGCTGGAGCAGAATCCCACCTGAAAAGCTGCTGCCGGTCAGTGTAGACATAATGGGGCTAAATGGACCAATGGGCTGACTTGGCATATGGCAGTTTATTTACTTAATTATTTCAGGGATGTGTATATGTGTGTGTGTACAGTGGTACCTCGGGTTAAGTACTTAATTCGTTCCGGAGGTCCGTTCTTAACCTGAAACTGTTCTTAACCTGAAGCACCACTTTAGCTAATGGGGCCTCCTGCTGCCGCCACGCCGCTGAAGCACAATTTCTGTTCTCATCCTGAAGCAAAGTTCTTAACCTGAAGCACTATTTCTGGGTTAGTGGAGTCTGTAACCTGAAGCATGTGTAACCTGAAGGGTATGTAACCCGAGGTACCACTGTATATGTATATATGTGTGTGTGTGTGTATATGTATATGTGTGTGTGTGTGTGTGTGTATATATATGTGTGTGTGTGTGTGTGTGTGTGTGTGTGTGTGTGTATAAAATAAATCACCAAACCATTTTTTAAAAAAAGCATCATGGTGGTATACAACATTCCCTACTATTCTTAACCTTATTTTGCTAGCGGGGTGTGTGTGTGTGTGTGTGTGTGTGTGTGTGTGAACCGAGACTGAGCGAACAGCAGCTTACATGTAAATCTTGTTGAAGGGCGGGGTAATAAATACCTAAAGTTGGGAGGCTCTAGAAGACATCCGTCACAGACGATAAAAGGAAATACCATTCCTGACTCAGTTGAGTTTAACAAGTTCTCCATCGTTCGACCACCCCTGGAGACTTAAGGCATGCATGCTTGCTATCCACAGTCTGCATCCAATCTGCCTAACATTACATCACATGTGAGATAATTACTGTTTATAGTAGGGAACTAGGCACTCCCAATTCTGCCTGAGGCCTAAAAAGAGGCAGCATCGAATCCCTCTGTGAACTCAAAACTCAGCCATTTTACGCTCTGCAAAGTTGGTCTTGCCAACTAGGCGGAGGACGCAAATTTTAATCTCGGTTTTTAATCCTCTTTCATAAAATGTGTACACCCCTTGATTGTAGAGTGCTCAATCCCTGTATATTCCAAATTAGTTCCATCTCAAAAGGTTGGTGATGGAACTGAAGCCTTTTGCTGTTGCCTAGCAACCGCAGGGCACCCTCCCAACTCTCTTAGGGCTGGCCTGGAAGAGAATGGGGTATGTTTCTCCCTGCTGTTGCTAGGCAACCACCAGTGTTTCCCTGTCCTCTGAATCCACAACACAGCTGGCTAGGAACAAGGGCCAAAAAGTGTCCTGTGATGGAGGAGGTCTGCAATCAAATCCCCTGACATTTTTATTTTTATTTTTTACTTCCTTTAAAGCAGCCAGATTTTGACTGGGGAGAAGTTCCATTGTAAGACCATGACCTCAGCTGACCACTTAAAAGTGCCCTCATCAGCACCCCCAAAGAATAGGCTAGGTTGCAAGAGCTAAGGAACGATGCCCTCCGGGCCAATGGGTGGGCATTCCCTCCACCTGGCCCTGTCCTAGCTGCTAGGAAGGAGAACAGTAGCCATAGGGATGTGAGTGACTGAGCTGGAAGCGGGCTGGGAGTTGGAGACACAGAGACCTGCTTGCTCTGTCCTGAATCCAGAGCTGTGTCTAATGGAGAAGCAAGATCTGTTGGGGTGTTAATGTTGTGAGCCCCTCCATCTTATACCCAGGTTGTTCAGCCCAGACACTGAGATCCAGCTCCGAGGGCCTCATTGCGAGAAGTGAGGTTACAGGGAACCAGGCAGAGGGCCTTCTTGGTGGTGGCGCCCGCCCTGTGGAACGCCCTTCCTTCAGATTTGAAGGAAATAAGCAGCTATCCTATCTTTAAAAGACATCTGAAGGCAGCCCTGTTTAGGGAAGCTTTTAATATTTAATGCTGTATTGTTTTTAACACTCGATTGGGAGCCGCCCAGCGTGGGTGGGGAAACTCAGCCAGATGGGTGGGGTATAAATAATAAATTATTATTATTATTATTATTATACAGTATGTGTAAATAAATCTATATATCCTAAAGATGCCACAGTCTCCAACGAAGCAGTATTCTTTCTGTTGTGAGATCAATTATAGCACTTTTTCCTCTCTTTTTTTTTTTTGCTGGAGAATAGGGCAGTGGGAGATTTACTTTAGGAGGGTGGCAACATGAGAACGGGCTTTTTCTTTAGTGTAATGCTCTCCCCAGGGAGGTTTGGCCAACGCCTTCATGATATACCCTTAGGTACTAGGTGAAAGGGACGTGGGTGGCGCTGTGGTCTAAACCACTGAGCCTAGGGCTTGCCGATTGGAAGGTTGGTGGTTTGAATCCCTGCAACGGGGTGAGCTCCTGTTGCTCGGTCTCAGCTCCTACCAAGCTAGCAGTTCGAAAGCACGTAAAAGTGTAAGTAGATAAATAGGTACCGCTCCGGCGGGAAGGTAAACGGCGTTTCCGTGCGCTGCTCTGGTTTCGCCAGAAGCGGCTTAGTCATGCTGACCACATGACCCAGAAAAACTGTCTGCGGACAAACGTCAGCTCCCATGGCCAGTAAAGCAAGATGAGCGCCGCAGCCCTAGAGTCGTTCGTGACTGGACTTAACTGTCAGGGGTCCTTTACCTTTACCAGGTGAAAATGTTTCTCTTTAACCAGGCCTTGGGCCGATTGACATCCGATGCCCTTTTAAATGTGTTTTGGAAGGGGGGTTGTCGATTTTGTTTTTATTATGCATCTTCTGGGTTTTTAAAAATATATATTGTGATTTTATGTTGTGAACCGCCCTGAGATCTATGGGGATAGAGCAATAGACCAAACAAACAAACAAACAAACAAACAAACGGTGTTCTGTGGGGCAGGGAGGGTTAAGAAGTCTGCATGCAGCAAGCCCGGATTGTGAATTTAGGAATCTTATTCTAGCAGAAGGGCCACCTCTTCATGGGAGGGCATCTGCATTTGCAGGTTCGATCCTGAACGGCATCTGCAGGTAGGGTGAGACCATCGCCTGAAATCCTGGACAGCTGCTGCCAGTGTGGTCCCATCTGCACTCCCTGTTTAACTAAGGAAGTACACGACTTTAAACATTCAACAAACAACACTTCGCCAGATTTATTTGGGGTGGGGGGAGCCGGGACTGAAGGAGCATCTCCACCCCCATTGTTCTGCCCAGACACTGAGGTCCAGCTCCGAGGGCCTTCTGGCGGTTCCCTCGCTGCGAGAAGTGAGGTTACAGGGAAGCAGGCAGAGGGCCTTCTCGGTGGTGGCGCCCGCCCTGTGGAACGCCCTCCCATCAGATGTCAATGAAATAAACAACTACCTGACTTTTAGAAGACATCTGAAGGCAGCCCTGTTTAGGGAAGCTTTTAATGTTTGATGTTTTACTGTGATTTTAATATTTTGCTGGAAGCCACCTAGAATGGCTGGGGAAACCCAGCCAGATGGGTGGTATTATTATTATTATTTGGGATGATACAGCCTTAGACCTATATGCAGCACAAATGGTGAGCCACATGACCATGGTAGGCTGGGCCGCAGGAAAAAAAGTGAGTGGGGCAATGAATGTAAATGTCACCTTTGTACATTAGGCTGCTTTCTACACAAACACACATACACCTCTTTTTCTAGAAAAAATAGCCCTGCATCCAGGCACGCAAGAGCCGTGATCAGAGTTCAAGGGCACTCATGACATGGGCGTAGCTGGGGGGGCAGGGAGGGGCAGTTGTCCTCCCCCCTAAGTCAATAAAAATACATAGCAAGCCAAGGTCCTGTGTTTGGTAGCTATTCAGCTCAGACATGAATCATAGCAAGGTAGAATCATAGAGTTGGATGGGACCCCCAGGGGTCATCTAGTCCAACCCCCCCTCCCCTTTGCTAGAAGTCCTAACACTCTTTGCCTCCTTAGCAAATCTCCATCTGGCACTTAACGCCACCACACCTCATTATCCCATTGAGAGTCGCTCAGCAAATCGCCTGTATGGCAAAGCCACACGGACCGAGACGCCAGCCCTTCCCCTCAGCAGGAATGAAACAAGAAGTTGGTTCCTTCCATCTGCTCTTCTCCCCATTTTGGTTTGCTGCGTCCTTTCCTTTGACAGGTGGTCGCTCTGGTCGCCCCTCCCTCCTTCCCCTGCCAAGGCCGTTGCCAGTTTTTTTGAGAGGGACCTGGGCAAAGTGCCCTCCCCACAGAGCTTAAACAGAGGCAGATGAGGATGGGCAGTGGCAGCTGAGAAGGGCAGGCAGCTGTGCAGATGCAACACACTCCTTGAGCCCTATGGGTATCTACAGAGCCTGGTGTGATTATCTTCCTTGAACCCAGTGCTTCTGGGACCTGCCTCGGATATGTATGTCAGGGCCCAGAGGCGTAAGTGTAAGGGGTGGGGGAGAAATTCCATGCAGTTTGCATTTAAGCCCTTCCGAATTTGCACTTCCTGGAACAATAGACAAACTAAAACACAGCCAACCTTCAAAATTTGCACTTTTTAGAAGTTTTCGATGCAGTTGTCTAGCCAAGAAGTGTGTACAAAAATGCCTGTACTAGGGTAGTCTCCATAAAAATGCATACGACATACAATAACGCATTATATCAGGGAAGATTGCTTTGCTAAAAATATGTTCCTTAAGAGCCACTGCATACAAAAATGGGTTTGCTAGGATGTTCACGCAAAACCGCTGGTGAATTTTCATGACCTTTCCCCCCCTTTTCTTCTTTTTTTATAAAAAAAATGTTAACTGATGTGAAGATGTACAGAACTGAACTGAAGACTGGCTAAATGAGAAGCAGAAAACAGAAACTGATGTTATCTCACCCATCCTTCATCAGGGATAAAGAAGATGGTGGTTGCAGCCATGTGGCCTAGCACTTTAATTTCACGATTTAATTGTTTAACAATATGCATATACCGCTTGACTGTGAAAAAGCAAGAGAACCTTCTCTTCACAGTAGCAGGAAAACCACGGTTACAACTAATGGCTAATCTGAAGAGAGCTAAACCATGCGCCCGGGTTTGGACAACATGCTAATCCAAACTACAAATGTATCTGCACTGCACCTTTAAAGCAGTATCACACCACTTTAAACAGCCATGGCTTCCCTCAAAGAATCTTGGGAAGTGTAGTTTGTAAAGGTTGCTGAGTTGCTAGGAGACCCCCTATTCCCCTCACAGAACTACTGTTGCCAAAGTGGTTTAACAGTCAATTCCTTTTCCTAGGGGACTGAGGGGAAAAGGGGTCTCCAACAATTCTCAGCACCATTAACAAACTTCACTTTTGAGGTGCCTTTGGGGGGAAGCCATGACTGTTTAAAGGGGGAATAATCCTGTTTTAAATGTATTGTGCTTCTGGGGATCAAGATTGCAATCCTGTATATGTGGGAATAAGCCCCACTGATGCTAGTAAGACATACTTCTGGGTATTACCCACAGGAATCATGGGCTGCAAGGTTAAATTATTATTTCATCATCAAAACCTCAGACAGGGCCTATGGCTTTAATCAGCATGGTAATGTGCAGATCAAGGCTTATCTGAACCAAGACACCAACATATAAAGAAGAAAGTCATGAGGGAAAGATTTGTTAACAGGCTTACACCTAACATTCAGAAACCTGTGAAATAACATTCTAGTTTCAGACGATACTCTTCTGCTGACATGAAACCTGCTGCACCTGAATTTATTGGCAAGTTTGATTTAACTAATCTAGGACTCAGTTGAGACCAGGGTTGTCTCTACTGCTAACACTGTTACGGCCAGTCAATACGGAACATTTGCTCCGATTTATTTCCCAATCAGCCTTTTGTCCATCCGTTTCGATGCATTCCTAACCACACTTTTTCAAAAAGTGATTATGTCATGCTAGGGCGACAAAGCTCTTCATGCCTTTTAATTGCACCACCCAAAAGTTGCAGTGTACTCTTGAATCCCTCCTGCAAAAATACCGACAAGTCTGGAGGCATTGTGCGTTCTCACCAATAACAGCTGTTGTGAAAGGTCACTGCAATAAACTAGGAGACATTTGAGCTTCGCAGAAACATGCCTTGGAGTTACTCTTATCTCTGGCATTTCTTAACCCACTTTCTCTCTCACACACAGGTGTAGAGAGAGAATCTGCCAACCAGTAACAGCACTTCAGAGATGAAGAGTCTTATGGCGCCTTAAAGACTTTGTTTTCCGGTGCACAAGAGCTCGTGCTAGAAGAATATAGTTGTTAACCTTCAAGGCAAAATGGGACATTTTTGTTGGTATCGTTGCAATAGCCCTAACACTGCGAAACCCGCCCCAGGAAAGTCTAAAACTTGGTGCAGGCACAATAAACCTTTAAATTAGCATGTGATGCTCTGTTTATATGTGTGGTTTGCTCTCCCAGGCTAAATCCCTCCGGGACTGGAGGTCTGAAATGCATGCAGGAGACCTAAACTCTGAGACATCCACATAAGCAGTTTGAAAGCATGACCCCTCCCATAGCTGAAAGCATCAAGTCTTCCTTCCCCCCTCCCTGGCTCCCTAGTAGTCTCTTACCCACAGAAGCCTCTGTCTGGAAAGGTCTCCAAAGGATGCCAGGCAGTGCCCAGTCACTGAAGTAGGCTCTGGGGCGTTCCCAACTGAGCAATGGCGCCTTCAGTGCTGAATCAGACGTGCACCAGCCAGTCCCCTACTCCTCTTGACAGTTCAGCAATGCAGATAGAAAAAGCTTTCAGCCGTGTCCCTGGCTTCCCTGGGCAGGCAGCCACACAGCAAAGCGGTGTTCTCACAGTGGGCAGAGGTGGAGCGAGGCAATGCGCCAGGAATGCTATCTGGAGAGGCCCTAGGAAAAGGAGCTTGGAGGTTGTTCGTTTTATTTTTGCTTGGTTTTTTCCCCCAGCAGAGATGGCCTTGGCTCAAGCCCAGCGCTCTCTCCGGAAGGCCTGCGCTTTTCGCCCAGTCGCTTCTGACCCTGACACTTGGAGGCCGGAGTGAGGAACTGCATTTAACTCCACCCAAAACCACTCAACCTGCATCAGCTGGAAACTGCTGATAGCAATTGGGCTTTTATTGGATGGAGGGGGGGAAGAAGGGATCAAAGAAACAAGCGCAGGCTGGGTGGCTGCAGGCTGTTTTTCAATTAACTCTCTGGAAAAGAAAAAAGGCCTTGAAATACCTATTGGCTGAAATGCATTTCCTGGAAATAAAAGCCACATTTTCACCACACCTGCACCCCTTTCCAGGAACTTGAGATGTCTTCTCTTTCATTTTGGAGTCCTGGATTTGAGCCAGCTGCCAAAATAAAGGAGTGAAATGAAAAATGAACAATGCTTTCGATTTCATTTCTCTCTCTGTTTCCCTCCCCCACCAGACTTAAATTCATTTCTGCATCTGTTTGTGACTGGATAAGAAGAAACCCTCAAGGAAATTTATCAGCATTTTAGTGTGAATTTCACCTAATATTTTGGGCTCCTTTTTGGGGGAGAAAGGACAGGATATAAATTCAATAAATAAATAATGTAATAATAATAATAAATTTTATTTATATCCCGCCCTCCCCAGCCGAAGCCGGGCTCAGGGCGGCTAACAACAATAAAACAGTACAAAAGTACAGCATAAACAACATTCTAAAATCATTCATTATAAAATTAATTAATTCAAGCCACTGGCAACCATTGGGCCAGAGCTCTCCGAAGATTGCCGAGGGAGGGAGTCAGGCTGTGCCCTGGCCAAAGGCTGGTGGAACAGCTCTGTCTTGCAGGCCCTGCGGAAAGATGTCAAGTCCCGCAGGGCCCTGGTCTCTTGTGACAGAGTGTTCCACCAGATCGGAGCCAGGGCCGAAAAAGCCCTGGCTCTAGTTGAGGCCAGCCTAACTTCTCTGTGGCCTGGGACCTTCAAGATGTTTTTATTTGAAGACCGTACGTTTCTCTGTGGGGCATACCAGGAGAGGCGGTCCCGTAGGTACGAGGGTCCTAGGCCGTATAGGGCTTTAAAGGTTAAAACCAGCACCTTAAACCTGATCCTGTACTCCACCGGGAGCCAGTGCAGCTGGTATAGCACCGGGTGAATGTGATCTCGCAGCGAAGACCTCGTAAGGAGTCTTGCTGCAGCATTCTGCACCCGCTGGAGTTTCTGGGTCAGTCTCAAGGGCAGCCCCACGTAGGTAAACCAGGGAGCCCGGTTTCTGCGGGGTCGCAGAGGGCGCTTAGGTGCGATCTCATCAATGGCTGCCAGGAGCTGGGTATTCCAGCCCTCAACAAGCTCAGTCAATGAGTCGCCAGGGGGAGCAAGGTCCCGCAAGGCTTGGCGGAATCTATCAGGGTCCATCAGCCTCTGCGGGCGAGCCCAAATCGGCTCGCCACCTAAGCAGGGTGGGGGTGGAAAGTCAATCCTGGCTTTCAGAGCGTAGTGATCAGACCATGGCACCTTCATCGAAGGAGACATGATCACATCTATACCTACGCCAAAGATCAAATCCAGCGTGTGGCCTGCTTGATGTGTGGGGCCCGAAACTGGGAGAGCCCTAGTGTCGCCATGGAAGACACCAGGTCCAGAGCCTGTGAGGAGGGAGTGGCATCAGCATGGATGTTAAAGTCCCCCAATACCAATAGGTTAGGGAACTCCAAGGCCCAGCCGGCCACCGCCTCCAATAGGCCTGACAGGGTGGCTGCTGGTGCGCTAGGTGGCCGGTACACCAGCCAGACAGCTAAGCTCTCCTCGGAGCCCCACACTAGGCCAACACATTCAATGCCAGGGATCGATGGCGATGGTAGAGCCCTGAAAGGACAATCTTCCCGGATTAATAATGCCACCCCTCCCCCCCGGCCCACAGTCCGCGACTGGTGGAGGACGGAGAAACCTGGGGGCGCCATCTCTCGTAAGGTAACTGTTGCCCCTTCGCGCACCCAGGTCTCCGTCACACAAGCCAGGTCGACCCCCTGTGAGATAAAGAAATCTCGCAGGGTGGCGGTTTTATTGCCTATAGACCTGGCATTGCACAGCACCAGTGACGGAGGTGAGTAATCCTTGCTCACCCTACCCTCGTCCCTCGGGATGGGGCGCAGATTGGAAGGGGTACGAGCATATCCGTATCTCGATCCCCTTCGCCTATAACATCTGCCCCCCCCACCATACCTCCCTCGCCCCTCCACGGTAGCAATCCCAGGCCTCATAGTAGCCTCCATTGATGGCAATTAATGTTATTCTTTCGCAGCCTAGAACAATAAAACCTTAAAACAATAAAAACAAAAAACAAAAACAACCCAGAAAACAATAAAACAATACAAATAAAAACTGCAAAAATTACAAATTCATCAAAATCTAACAAATTCCCAAGCCCACCCAAACATCCATCCCACCCCCATATATAAAAAATCTAAAGGGAAAGGAAAATATTTAATAATAATTTAAAAAATGTTAAAAAGAACTCTGCACCCCTCCAGGTCCTCCTGGGCAGTAGCAGCATCAGTGGCAACAACCATCCTTGTGAGGCCCCACCCTGGGCCAGATAGTAGGTGGCAGGAGCAGTCCTTGTGAGGCCTGTCAGGCCCTCCCTGGGCCAGGTGGTAAGTGGCAAGAAGGAGCAGGGCCCTCAGGCACCCACACAGGGGAGGCAAGCAGCAAGCAGTCCTTGTGAGGCTTCAGGCCCCGCCCCAGGCCAGATGGTAAGTGGCAAGAGCAGGGCCCTCAGGCACTCACCACAGGGGAGTCTTCCTGGGCAGCAGAGCAGTCCTTGTGAGGCTTCAGGCCCCGCCCCAGGCCAGATGGGAAGTGGCAAGAGCAGGGCCCTCAGGCACTCACCACAGGTACACGTATGTACACGTTTTCATACACAGCTTTAACTAATATACACGTTATTGCAAGTGATTTTCCCTAATGGAAAGGATCTTTTTGTATGTTACTTTACTAATGCATGCATTTTTAATATATGTGTTTTTGTATAAACATTGTCTGCTGGGATGACTACTCTGCAAAATTTGAGGCACTGTGAACGTTGAAGGGCAGCTGTGTTTAGATTCACACACTGATCTGAAAACTGTGAATTTGTTTCTCGTTAAAATGTAAGCAAAACGGCATCTCTCCCCCATCCCTGGGCCAGATCACTATTCCTGGGCCTTTTTAAAATGCCGTGCCTCACATCACCTCTCTCTTTTTCTGCTGTGATCAGCGTTGCCATTATTTTGTATTTACAGTCGTACCTTGGATCCCAAACACCTTGGTACTCGGACGTTTTGGCTCCCGAATGTCACAAACCTGGAAGTGAGTGTTCCAGTTTGCGAACATTCTTTGGAACCCGAACGTCTGATGGGGCTTCCGCAGCTTCTGATTGGCTGCAGGAGCTTCCTGCAGCCAATCAGAAGCCGTGCTTTAGTTTCCAAATGTTTTGGAAGTCAAATGGACTTCCGGAACAGATTCTGTTCAACTTCCAAGGTACGACTGTATAGGGTGCTTTAATATTTGGGGTGCTTGACAAGAGAGGCAGCCAAAAGTACATCATTTACAGTCTACCACAAGTTCTCTGGGTAATTGGCAGAAAATCAGTAATGGCCTGACTTCCTAAGATTTCAGCAGTAACAGTAAAGCTGCAAATAAAAAAACAACCACCCTGTTGTATCTGCTCCTTTTGGTGTTTATCTTTTGCGTGGTGTTATAAATAAATTTTGCTACCAGTTGCTGACACAGTAGTCCTGGCTTTCATCCAGCCCACAGTGACATAGGCTCTTACTCGAGAAGAAGGAAGAGGTCTTTATCATGACAGATAAGAGATAAGAGGTTCAGCAATAGGTAAATGAGTCACAGCAGCTTCTACATCCAGGTTTGATGATGGGAAAACCAAGGTTAGACATACTAGAAGGATTGGTCCAAGCTTGAGGAATCCCAAGATGTAGGCAAGGAGGTCAAAACTGCATGGAAGCCACAAAATTGTCCCAATGGGTTGGCACACCCACCCACCAAGCTTTTAAAGATCAGGCCAGGTGCTCTCACTTGCCCTTGTGCCTATCTAGATTGTGCCTATCTAGACTGTCAAGTATGCAGACATTCGCTGTACCAGGGTGGGTGTGTCTAGGTCCTGGGTGACCAGACTGTCCTTTTCCCTTCTGACTCCAGTTCCTCTACCCCTAGCGATGGGCCATTGCCCAGCCCAGATTCCATTGCTTTGCTCCTTTCTCCTGGTAGGAAGAAGGGACCTGGGAGTCTTGCCTCTCCTGCTGTGGCAGCTGGATCTGGGGAGGGGGAAAGTACCTACCTTCTCCAGCCATTGTTCCCTGATCTCAGCGCCCCCTCCCCATGTTACCCTCATATTTCCCCTGTTTCAGCCTTCCACTCCACTTCTGAGACACATGATACCTGAGGATGACTGACGAGAGCATTGTTTTACTGTATTTTTCACTCCATAAGATGCACTTTTTCCCTCCTAAAAAGTAAAGGGAGATGTGAGTGCGTCTTATGGAATGAATGGCGCTGCACAGAGAGGAAGAACTGTGCAGCGCCCCTTCAGCGACGCGCCTGTCCTGCGAAGCCAGAGGAGGAACAGAAGGGGCTCCTCCTCCCTTAAGAGGCTTGGCATGGCTATCCCAGAAGCCAGAACAGCCAGAGGCTATCCCAGAAGCCAGATCCCTCTTGCTGTTCTGGCTTCTGGGATTCAGAATATTTTTTTCCCTGTTTTCCTCCTCCCAAAACTAGGTGCGCCTTATGGTCTGGTGCATCTTATGGAGCGAAAAATACGGTGCTTTATACAGCTTAGGGAGAGAGAATCTGTGCCCACCTCCTCCTCCAGATTAGCCTCCCCCAACCTGATGCTCTCCTGTTTTGGTTGGACTCCAGCTCCCATCAGCCCCAGTCAGCATGGCCAATGGAACCAAGGATGCTGGGAGTTGTTGTTGACATCTGTTTGTCTCAAGAGACGATGGAGTGTGAGGATGAAATCAAGCTGCTGCATTAGCAACACTGAAGTGACCTCTCCGCAGTGCAAGCCTGGGCAGTGTGTATAATAATAATAATAATAATAATAATAATAATAATAATAATTTATTATTTATACCCCGCCCATCTGGCTGGGTCCCCCCAGCCACTCCGGGCGGCTTCCAACAAAACACTAAAATACAATAACCTATTAAACATTAAAAGCTTCCCTAAACAGGGCTGCCTTTAGATGTCTTCTAAAAGTTTGGTAGTTATTTTTCTCTTTGACAACTGGTGGGAGGGTGTTCCACAGGGCGGGTGCCACTATTGAGAAGGCCCTCTGCCTGGTTCCCTGTAACTTGGCTTCTCGCAGCGAGGGAACCACCAGAAGGCCCTCGGCGCTGGACCTCAGTGTCCGGGCAGAATGATGGTGGAGACGCTCCTTCAGGTATACTGGACCGAGACCATTTAGGGCTTTAAAGGTCTGGAGGTTCTGGGCTGCCCAGATGACAAGACCCCCTTCTGGCCCTCACTGGTGTGGTCCAAAGGAAAGCAGAACAAGATGTTTGGCACCAGCTTGGCTGCAGGAGTAGCTGGAAGGAGGTGTGCAAGGCACCATTCAGCTGTCTTAAGGACTCAACTCTAGATTTGTTTAGGCTTTACTCCTTTAGCCTTCTCTTCTCCTGAAGGCAGCAGTGGTTTCGGATCAGAGTTATCCTTCTCCTAAATGGAACCTGGGCTACCTTCCCAGGTTGATGAGCCCCATCTGCCCCTTTGCAGTTGTAGTCCAACAATACTTGGAGAGTATTGACATTTACAAGATATCTGAAGGCAGCCCTGTTTAGGAATTTTTTAATGACTGCTGTTTTAATATATTTTTAATCTTTTGTTGGAAGCTGCCCAGAGTAGCTGGGGAAACCCAGCCAAATGGGTGGGGTAGAAATAAATTATATTATTATTATTATTATTATTATTATTATTATTATTATTATTATTAAAGGTTAGATACCAATGCCCTGTGATAGGAATGGAAGGTTGTGTCAATTTCACTTAACTCAGTTTCTCATTTCCCCAAATTTAAATTCAGTTCTCCACATTTTGCAACATTTTGAGGGGTTTTTTTTAAAAAAAATCCTCATAAACATTCACCAGCAAATTTTGTGCAAATTTCTCCTAACATATACATTTTTAATATGCAGTTCTGACCAATGTGCCTATCTTTGCAAGCAATTCGCCTAATATAATGCATTTTGCATGTAATTTTCACTAATATTTTCATGCACCTTCCCCCCTAATCTGATCTTTTCATTTTTAGAAACAATTGATGTGAGAACTGCATTGCAACATTTCAGATAAGCCTGAATTTCCAAGGATAGCTGTGTCTCGCTTTGCATTTTGTTTCGGAAGTTTTGGATTTGATAGATTTGATTTTAAACATGCATTGAATCAGATTTCTCTTCCACATGGGAATAAAACCCTGGGAAGGGCTAGGAGGAACAGAAGCTATGCAAGGAAAAGGCAAATATTGTAAATGGGTTGTTACAATATAAAAACAAACTGGGTCAAGGTTGCTTTTGCTTCAGATGCAGCTAGAACAAATGTTGTGGTTGCTCATGTTATGGTTGTGTTTATTATACAGTACTTTTTTTAAAAAAACCACACCTGGTGAAACAGGAAGGGAGTCAGAGAGCAGGGCCTGATCTTAAAGGAGACAATATTAGGAGTTAAGCATATATGGGTGGATTTACACAAGAACAAAATAATGTAAGAAGGGTTAAGTATAGTAATTTAATTCACTGAACTTGTGAATGCCTGTAGGCCTGTAGGTGCTTGAATTTGATTGGTTGGGAACTGAATTCTGGACCTAGCTGTCAACGTTTCCCATGTTTAAAGGGAAATTCCCTTATTCTGAATAGGATTCCTCACAAGAAAAGGGAAATGTTGACAGCTATTATTCTGGAGAGTTCTCTAGTACAGTGGTACCTCGGGTTACAGGTGCTTCAGGTTACAGGCTCCGCTAACCCAGATATAGTACCTCAGGTTAAGAACTTTGCTTCAGGATGAGAACAGAAATCATGTTCCTGCGGCATGGCGGCAGCAGGAGGCCCCATTAGCTAAAGTTGTGCTTCAGGTTAAGAACAGTTTCAGGTTAAGAACGGACCTCTGGAACGAATTAAGTTCTTAACTCGAGGTACCACTGTAGTTCTTATATGACTGGTTAATGGTCACATGAGAGGCATCTAGTGATGCGGAGACTCCATTTTATGTGAAGCAAGATGACTGTGTTTTAGAATCCACCGTGAAGCATGCGACTGTAAGTATTATGCTTTAATTCGTCGATAACTATAGGTTTCTGCAAGCAAAGTTTTTGAATGTTGAAGTCTGGACATTGGTTTAATTACCAAAGTAGGGTGTCAGTCATGATTAGAGCTTATTAGCTGCGGTTTCGCTACTCTGGTCTCAACAAGAAGAGCCTTCTGGATCAGGCCCATCTAGTCCAGCATCCTGTTCTCACAAAGACCAACCTACAAGCAGGATTCGACCACAAGAGCATTCTCCCATCCTCTGGTTTCCAGCAACCAGAGCCATAACAGTTGCAGTTCCAAACGTAGGACCTGTTTGCTGCTGTTTGGTTTTGCCACCTATGTAAACCTGACTGCAGAAGACTTGCACTGCCATTGACACATGTCCCATCCCCCTGTCCCCCCA